TGTGTCCTCACTTCGCAAAACGGTTTTCCTATGGGCGATTTTAGTAAGATGACAAATTTTTCCCCCATTGGAACGCATTAAATAGATTTGAATGCATTCCAGTGGGGAAACGCATTTCGCAAGATGATGTTTTCGCAAGACAGCGATTTTCGCGGAACGAATTAACATTGTCTTGTGAGGCATCACTCTATCTACCTGTCTGTCTGTCTTGTCTGTCTGTCTCTCTGTCTGTCTGTGCTTAATTGTTCATGGTAGCTAAAAAAATGTATTCTCAAAAGTCAACAAACTCTACCCAGCCACAAGGACCAGTGATCAATGCACACAAAAGACTCTCTCTGTCTGTCTGTGCTTAACTGTTCATGGTAGCTAAAAAATGTATTCTCGAAAGTCAACAAAGTCTGCACAGCCACAAGGACCAGTGATCACTGCACACAAAAGACTAGCAAACAATACCCATCAATCACAGTGACAGATCATCTTCCCCCCCCATCAAAACAATGCACCTATAACAAAAAAACACCCTGATCACCATAATCACCCAATCTCCTGAAAAGGACAAACAGCTGATCCCACAGCTACAAATATTCAACCACACTACACCAGAAATCAAAACAATGCACCCATAACAAAAAACACCCTGATCACCAAAATTACCCAAACAGCTGATCCCACAGCTACAAATATTCAACCACACTACACCAGAACACAGAGTTCTAACTCCTGTCCTCTGAAGATGCCGGCCGCAGAGACTGGGGAAACGTTAGAAAGAAAAACCTTCAGAACAGAGCCAAACAGCCCAAAAAACCTACAACAACTAAAAATAAAAAACAATAAAACATATCAAAGAGGGTGCCAGACTCTTGGGACAAAGACATGTGTTCTTTAGGTGCAGTCACAGAGAACACACTTCCTCTTGTCCCCAACAAACATACGTCTACAAACACTGGAACACATAAAGTGGCTTCCCTCAAAGATCTCATAGTATGGACAGGTTAGTGTGGAAGAAGGCAGTCCCTTAGATGCCTCAAATGTAAACCATTTAACACATTAAAGATCACAACCAGAACCTTGAATTAAACAGCCTGGTAACCAATACGTCCCTTGCAGGATAGTTGAAATATGATTCCATAAATGAGTATCTACTAGAACTCATACAGCTACGTTCTGGACCAATTTTAGTTTCCAAAGATTATTCAGAAGTAGTCCTGTGTTTGGCACATGATAATAATTCAGTCCAGGTGTAACGCATGTAATCCTGCAATACAGAAGATTTATTTATGTCAAACATGCAAACACTCTTACTATGTGGTAAAGATGATTCAAAACCAAGAAAACAAGAGAAATACATATCACAAATAAAATTTCTAATGGCTGTTTATCTGTTCTAAATTAGGCAGTGTGTTCTTTGATCATAACAGTGGGAGATCACTGAGAGATGGTGCTAAAAATATGTCATCTTGAAGTTTGCAGATGGAGTTTACCTGGTGCTCCTGATGGGTCTTCTTGAAGGCTATTTTGTGCCTCTTCACAGCTTTTTCTTGACTCCTGATAGTTTTGAACAAAAGGTAATTTTGTTGTTGAAATCTGTATTTGAATTCAAATATGAACTAATTTCTTCAGAAGCATAATTTGCAGGATTAATCTCATTCACACAAGTTATTTTGATAAGTGTTTTTTAAAATGTGTTTATACAAAACAGTTGCTTTCTCTGGACAAGATGCTGTTTTCTTTAAAACTGTAAGTAATTGCTCTCTCTTAATTGACTCACCAGGTACTCAATGTGTCATTTGCATTTGAGCTAATGCAAGATGGAGGGCTGGAAAAACCAAAACCAAGGGCAGAAGGTACTTGCTTGAGCATTCTGCAGCTGAAATATCAAAAGGAATGTTTTAAAGTCACAGAAGTAGTAAACATTTAAGAGGGAGAGGGCACGCAGGATAAATGTTGCTTTTGAAAGTAATGAAATTATGATTATTTCCCTTTTTTGTTGCTTTTAACGTTACTAGAAACACATAAAGTGAATGCCAACTCCTACATTTAAATATTCTTCCTACTTGTTCTGAGTAGATTATTCAGAAGAAGTTAGGTAACCCCAAATTCAATTTTAAGCAGTGGGATTTATGACTTCTCTTTAGTATGGACAGATTTGGATGAAGAAATTTGCGGGAGTTGCCAAATTGATGAAATGAAGACACCTCCTCCTTACCAAAGATACCTGGAAGTTCATATGGTTCCCCCCACTGTTCCTCAAGAGCCCTGTAGCAGTAATAGAATGAAGCTCTTCTTTGTGGCCTCTGTGAATCACACCCTAGGTAATCTGTGCATATGCAGAGCCTTGTCAGAATATTCTAGAGCTTCTGTGGTAGCAAAAAAAACCACATTATCGATCCCAATCTTCTTGATGGGCTGGAAAATAATGGCTTACTGGTGCTGCAAATGTACCCTGAGCCAAAGAGTATTGATCGGCTGCTCTGGGTTTCTTAGGTGCCGGCTGGTAATAGGTGCTATGTTGTCCCTGATGATCATGATAGTAAGATTGTTTCGACACTGAGGGCTGCCATGAGTGAGGCCCTTGTTGTGGCACTGCTGCTGAACCAGGCAAAAACAACTCATTGATGTTGCTTGGCAGGCGTTTCAGCTGGGCACCGGTCAGGGCAAATGGTTGCACAGTGATGGTGCTGAGCGTGAATTGGTGCTGCACGTGGGGGCAAGCGAATGCTCTTATGTGGTTGGTGCCCTTGATTACGTGTCGGAGGCCAATGTGGTAGGCCTATTGGGACAGAATAGGGCACAGTGTCCAGTTGTGCTTTGGCTCCTTGGACATTGGGCAATGCAACCAGGGAGGATTCACTAGGAGAGCCAGATTGTTGAGGGTTAGCAGGGGAGGATGTGAGCCAGTCAACTCACTGCTCCCATTCTGGCGACTGCGATGGGGATGGTTGATGAGATGTGAGCCCTTCTTCATCCAAGGGTGAGCCCACACATATGAGATAACCTTTATTGAGTGCATAACTTGGGGGCATTTTTTCTACTAAAACAACTAGCCCCCAATTCGATCTTTGTGGAGGCTTCCCAATCTCAATCCCGACATCGACAAGTCCTCATACCACCTAATAAAGACAGGTGGATTGACTCCATGGGCAGATGGCTATGTTCGTCTGCTGCCTTTATCATGAAGGTTGCCAGTTACCAAGGGGCCATGGGTGCCTACCAGCATTTTCTTTGGGACAGTATGTCCACCTTCATTGATGCACTCCCCGAGGACAAAAAGGTCCTTGCACAAACCTTCCAACAAGAAGGGCTATCGGTTTCCAAACAACAAATGCTGTCTGCCAGACATACTGTTGATGCCACAGCTAAATCCATGGCTCCCTCCGTGGCTTTTCAACGCTTTTCCTGGCTGAGAACCTCTGGCTTTGCTGAAAATGTGCGTGCGCGTATTGAAGACCTCCCATTTGACGGGGCAGGTCTTTTTAACGCTGAAACAGATGACATCCTTGAAAATGTCCAAGAGAAAAGATTAGCTTCCAGACGTTGGGGTGTCTACCATATATACCAACAATGTCCTTAGTGCACTCAATGATGGCGCCTTTACAACTCTTACCAGAAATCCCAACCTCAGAGACAAACATCTTACACACCTTACTACAAACACCAGTCTTACCGGGCCAAGCCACGTCAACAGACGATGATCAGGTGCAATGACCCCAAGCCTAAACATCATGTTTGACATCCAGCCAGCCGAGATCTCAACACACTCTCACATTTCTCCTTCTGCACTCTGGAAATACTTACCTGCATGGGAAAGCATCACCACAGATACTTGGGTCCTCTCCATCGTCTGAAGTAGGTACTGTATACAATTCCACCAGCTCTGCAGAAGCCATAGAATATTTTGATGAGGCTCAGCGCATGCACGGATTACCCAGGGTGTGAATCACAGAGGTCCACTCAAAGAATTGTAATTACAGGTGAGTAACCTGTCGATTGCCAAAGTGTGCAAATGATCAAAAGGACTGTTCCTTTCAATGCAGCAGAAGGGATGTTTGACAAGGTAAGCCTCTTTGCCTGGGTGTGAAAAGTCCAGGCTGTCAGAAAGAGTGAAAAGCAGGAGAGGAAAAAAGTAAACATGGATAGTGCCATCTGATTACAAAAGGAGAAGGAAGAGGGCCTGCTCCAAGAACCTAGTTTTAAACTGCATCTGAAACAACTTGAATGAATCCCCCTTACTCCAGTATTTCCAATACCCAGCATTATCCAAGGTCCACCAACCACTGCTCCTACCTCACCATCTGAGTGGGTGAAGATATGAACACATTTGATGTACGTTTCTTTCCTTGCAACAAAATGACTGCATTAGTTTCCTACCTATGATCTTCTGGCCTGACCAGTGTTGAAAGGGTTGGAATGATTTTGATCCTGGTAATGTGGAATAAAATTCATAGCTGAATCATAGCATCATAGAATAATGAAGTTGGAAGGGGTCTATCAGGCCATTGAGTCCAATCCTTTATTCAATGCAAGGATATAAATCAAAGGATATCAGTCAAGTGGTTGTCTAAATTTCTCTTGAATGCCACCAGTTACTTCTCTATTATATACTTCTCATCAGTGTGGGACAAAAGGTCATACCCCTTTCCACCCCTGCTGAGATAGAAAGACCATGTTTCCTCTAGCTCCCAAAATAGCTGTTTGGCAGGATGCAGGGAACACAGTCTGCGTGAGGATGGGATGATGTGTATGAAGATAAGTTAATTATTCCTTCCTTCCAGGGATCTTAGTGATCTGTAACAGCAGACAAAAAACAGACAAAAAAAGTAGCCTTTTTTTCTCCATAATCTTGTTGCGGGCTGATGAACTGGTGAAAATGTAGCTGGAAGCACAGTGAAAAGCCAAGGGCCATAAGCAGCTTGAAGGCTGCAAGTTGCCCATCTGTGGTCTGAAATATTTTGTGTTGGTACTCTAACACACTGGTTCTTAACCTTTGTTACTCAGATGTTTTTGAACTGCAACTCCCAGAAACCCCAGCCAGCACAGTTGGTGGTGAAGGTTTCTGGGAGTTGCAGTCCAAAACTCCTGAGTAACCCAAGGTTAAGAACCAGTGCTCTAACATATGTTTAAACCACATTAGTTGCTTCAACCACTTTGGGGTTTTTGTTTGTTTAATAAAGAATATTGGGAAAAAAAACCTGTGGGCATAATGATGCAACTTTGTTTAAAAAGTTGAGCAGATCATTAATGTTGGTGTGTACGGTCGTTTACTGTCTGTCAAAGTAACTTTTAACACATGGCCCCAGTCAAAATTTTTGAAGTTAGAATGGGAATTTAAGAGCAAGAAAGTGAATGGAGAATTACTCTCATTCCCTCTCCCTTGTGAATAGTTAATGTCATTATAGCATTTCAGTTTCCCAGGTATTTACGGCTTAAAGGGATGGCTGGTTTATTATCCAGTGTAAATCAAACAATATGGGCATTTTAGCATTTGTTTATGTATTTGTGTGCATATAAGACATATCACATGCAATGATTGAAAAGATTAATATGGAACTTCCTGCTCAATGTGAATGGAAAAATACATCTGTTTTATATGCTGTTACGTTGGGCAGAATGCCCATGATTAAAATTTCCAGCAAGCATGAGAGTATTGAAAGGGAACTTAATAATCTATCTGTGAATGCAGAGTAGCCTTCAAATACTTTACTTGCTTTGATGAATGGTTTTTAAGAATAATTACCCAATGAATGATATAAAAGTAACTAGGATTTCCTTTATCTCCTAGAAAGAACAAGCAGGTTTCTGGGCCACAAACCCTCCTTTTGTATATCATTTTGAAATGATTCCTTTTTGGAATAGCAAAGAGCTATTGCTAGGGTTCTAGTCCTAGAAGCTACATGAAGCTTTTCCAAATACTGCTGCATCCAGATATTCATGCATTCAGAACATTAAATATGTTTGGAGATAAAACTTGGCAAACCATCACTATCCAACAAACTGCACCAGAGCACAGACAGAGTTCTGACTCCTGTCCTCTGAAGATGCCAACCACAGAGACTGGTGAAACGTTAGGAAGAACATGGCCAAACAGCCCGGAAAACCCACAACAACAATCACTCTATGGTTTCAATGTGTTGCAAGACCCAAGACTTTTACACAAGTCTTGTGTAAAAGCCTCTCTCCCACCCCTCCCCACTCCAGTTCTAGAATCAGCCAATAAACTTTGCTCACAGGCAGTAATCTGCAAGTCTTGGATGTGTCAAGTACACTGCGGTCTTTTCAAGTTTTCTACTCCCAATAATGTGTATATTCTATGATGCTTCTCTAAGATTTCCTAATACTCGGGCATTTTTTAAAAAAGGGGGAAAACTCTCTGTTTTTTATATTATACTGTATTATACTGTAATATTTAAACTCATTTAAATAGTACAGTATAAACAGAATTCACCAGAATTTGCAGCTCAATTGATTCGTAGCACAGTTCTATCCACAGTTATATAAAATGGACTGATCCATTCCAATTGATCAACATTTCTGAAAAGGCTTGTTGCATTTAATAGGCTTATGGATAGGAGATGGGCATGAACAGTTTGGCACAGCGCCCACATAGGTATACTGTGGGTCCTGCCTCCTCTGCCTCCTCCAGGCAGTTGCCCACTCACCGGCTCCAGGGTGCTTCCTTTCTCTGCCTTCTCCACACTGTTATCCATCCATATGGGGAGGTGGAGCAGGGCAGCACTGCCGGCGAGTGGATAGTCATGCAGAGAAGACTGAGGAGGGAAGCACACGGCATCTGTTATGTGAGTGATTGTGTGGAGGAGGCAAGGAGGGAGCACACAGCACCTGTGGCTGAACCACAGTTTGTGCCCATCTCTAAAGAAAACTTTTAAAAGCCTAACAACAAATAGGTATGAAGTGTGGCATTATTGTGAAAGGCCAGACTGGATCCATCTTGGAGATGCCAAGAGGGCTGATGGGAGGGAGGTTAGTGCTATACTTTTATGGAATGCTGATAGTTCCAGAGTTGAGTCCTCTGTGTTTTTCTAGAGATAGGGAGGTGCCCAAGATCACCTTGAACCATCTGAAATGAAAGCCATAAATTGCATCTGCCTTCCAGTGAGAAATCACAGAGGGCACATGTAGAACTGGCTGTCTTCTTGGATGTTCTGGGGACAGCCTGCTGGGATTGGTTGATGAGTGTGGTTTGAGTGAAGAGGAAGAAGGTATAAGACTGGTTAAGATCAGAGCAAAGGGGGACCATGTGTCTTGGGATTTGAGCATATTACTACACAGATTTGAATTGGAGTCAATGTGAGCTCTGTGCTTTATATCTATTCTTACATACTCTGCTTTTGTAATCATTACAATTTGGAGCTTTCTTATTGATAGGCTTATTAATCTGAAAATATTTTTCTTTTTTTGCAGTTTGGTCTTTTTCTTTTCTTAATAAAATAAATAAAATACTCCACTTCTGTGTGTTTTTTTGGGTAATGGTGGTCCTAAGTCTATTATCTAGCCTGTCGGACTTCCTACTATATACCCAGAATTTGAACCATGTGTAACTAAGTTTTGGTCTCCCTTGCGGGTCTTGCTGTTATTTCTGGAAAGAAGGGGGTTGCCAGATTCCCAAGTTAGGGATGTCAACTCCTGGCTGGCGTGGCTTCCAGGGCTCAGCTGGGGCTGGCTGGGTTCCTGCACATGCGTGCATGTGCAGGGCTCAGCTGGTGTGCCTGCACATGCATGCACAGAGAAACTTTTTGGTGGCAGCTACTGTTTGATTCATCTGTAACCATTACAATTCCCATCGTCACGTTGTTCAAATTACGTTTCTTTGGAACAGCTCAGCATAGATATTTCAGGTAGTGGTGTAATTAGAATGTACTTTGTGATCTTCAACAGTTTGCACAACTGAAGAATCATAGGTAGATTTCACTCTGGTATATGGGATAGGCAATTCATGCATATATCACAAAGAAAGCACAAAAGATTTGGATGATACTGTATCATAATGTGCTGAAAATGTATAAAAATTATGGCAAATACAATCTGGGAATCTCACAGAAACAGTTTTCTGTATTTTCATTAAGATAAAATTTACTGTCCCAAAGAAGCAAAGGGATCTTTATTCATTTGAAATATCAGAAAACTCTCCTGTGATAATGCTGAGAAAGAGTTTAGAGAATGGTAATTGATAGAGTCTCCTAATTTTCCTGAGCTTCTATAGTAGGTCTGCAGAACATGATCCACTGTGGCAAACAGGGCACACAGCAGTCTGGGAAATGCTTGAATCCTTGTATATCTTGCTTATCTATCTTTCCTTTCCTTCCCCCCCCCCCAGTCCGATGCAAACTGCAATCATAGAAAATTAGTGACCTTCAATTGGACACTAAATAGACCACATCTGTTCTTCAGGACTTTAGCTACTTTTGAGTATATTCACAGGAGCAAATGCTGAAATTCTTTTTTTAAGTCAATTGGATTTTCAATAACTTGAACAACATAGGATTTCAACCTTTGCTTGTAACAATGGATGTGTGATTACAGCTTTTCCATATTTAAGCCATTTCCTTTAACGTTGTATATCCCTTATTATCTTATTCAAATATTTTATCTTCTGTCTCTTTTTCTTCTCCATTTAGATATTGTAAATTGCGACTTAAAGTCAACCTTGAGAGTGCTGTACAATCTCTTCACCAAATACCGAAATGTGGAATAAAGAAGAGAAGTACGTTGCCAGAGATGTCTGTTAATGAACCAATCAAAGAACCACACCTTTTTTGCAATCATTCTTTATTTTTACACTTTGCTTTTTCCAAATAAGATGGCTTACATTTCAGAGTATTCTTGCAATGCTTGTTTTGCATGGGATATTTTAAATTGGAACTGTTTTAAATGTTAGAAAGTGAACATCTGTTGTAAGATATACACATTATCCCCTTGTTTGACTGTTGCTTAATTTCTTGGAGAACAAATAACACAGACACAAGACCTGATCCACAACCATATTAAGAAAAGCAACTGCCCTTAGTAGCAATTAGAGCTTGTTACTATTAGCGCTGCTGAGGCACTGCCCAAGAAGCTCGTGAACACAAATCCTGTTACTCTGTTAGAACATGTCTTTCTGCAGAATTCACCTCTCTTCAACATGCATATACATCTTTCTTTTGGTGTTGCTGGTTTGGTGCTGCTTTTCTTTTCTACTTGTAACTAAGTTTTGGAAGCTGGAAATAATGAGTTACAAGCAGTATAGTTACCTCTAATTCTTTACTTTTTGGGTAAGAAGAGTGTAACATAGTTGCATTTCAAAAGTAAGGTAACAAAGTAGGAACAGTTACTTTATGTGCAGAAAAGACACTTTTTGTTACTTCCAAATTTTACATTTTTGATAAAACCTATTCCAATTTTATAACATTTTGTTCTTAATCCTAAAAGTTGTTCCTTCCAAAAAAGTAACTAAATGTAATAGAGAAGTAATAAGCAGCACACGTGATATAGTTTTTTTCCTGTTATTGTGGGTAAAGAGTTTTGCCAGCATATCAAGTAAAGGGAATTGATTTTTAAAAATAATTATCTAGGCTCTGATGGTGAGGACTGCTATTTAAGGCATATCAGCCAAATCAGTCCATAGAATTGTTGTACATGACATGTTTTCATTTAATTAAGTTGTAGAATTAGATGCAGAAGATATTCTGTGTACATTAGGTATTTATTGCATAGAGGTGATATATTGTGGTCATAAGATGTTCGAGAGCTATTGCAAAAAACATAGAGTATATGTGTGTGTGTATATGTATGCAGATGGAGAGAGCATAACTGGCAGAATAATCTGAGTTTCTAAAAAAGTGTCTCCAAATTATGTGTATCGTATTAACCAGGATGTTGGCGCAACTGAGGCCCTGGCCCTTTGCAGTGCCCTAGATAGTCTACCCTTTTTCCTCAAGACACTTTCATTCGGTGATTTTCCGTCTTTTCTGGTCAATTCTCCCCCATTCTAAAATTGGAAACGTCTGTCCAAAGCCCTTGTTACTGGCAATAGGAGCTTTAAGCTAAAATTTCCTTGTGTGTTAGGTTCTGCCCTCATCTTTTGTTCCACCTGCTTCTGGGGTCTGGCCCATGATAATATCTTTGAAAATGCATTGAGCTGTCAGGCTGAATGAGATTCCACACCATTTCATTATCAGCAGCCAGACCATGTTTCCTATGCATATGTTCCTTTTCATTTTCCATTCCTTAATGTTTGCAATCCATAAAAATTTTTTAAGTAAACAGTACAGAGAATTTAGTATAAGGTCTATCATTGAATTTTCTGCAATAAGATATTCTTTTTTAGATACAAAAGCAATGGTACAAATTGTGTCCATAGTTTCAAAGCTGCAAATCTCTTGCAACAAGCTATAGAAAGCATATAGAAAGAAAGGTGTATATTGTTGAAAGAGATAATGTTGAAAGAGATTTTTATTTTACATATCTCGGTCTCTGGAGTGCTAACATTAATGAGAAACATAAATTACCAAAAATCAATTGGTATTGTATTGTTGGAGCAACAGAATTTGCCAATGAATGTATACCAAGAAACTGAACATTCTTAGCTTACTGCGTTGTGATTCTGTATGTGACACACTTGATACTAAAATTTGAGTAAGAGCAATTTAAAAAAAAATTACAGTGGTGCCTCTCATTGCGACATTAATTCATTCCAGCGAAATCGCTGCTAAACGAAAACGTTGCAATGCGAAAATAAAAAGTCCATAGAAATGCATTAAAATGCGATTAATGCGTTCCTATGGGCTTAAAACTCACCGTTGAGCAAAGATCCTCCATAGCGCTGCCATTTCTGGTGCCTCTTAAGCAAGGAATCCGTCCCAGAAAATAGCGGGTGGCCATTTTGAAACCGCTGGGCTCCGGTGCCCTGCCGGCCAGATGCTCCGGCCTTCGCCGCCCCCACCCCCGCAGCGCCTCCAGTGTGTCCAAAGGCTGCGACTCCCAGGGCATCCCTGCCACCCCACACACCCCCGTTGCAACCCGAGCCAGGCAGGGAGGACAAGGCAGGCCCCCAGGGGGACCCGGGTAGCAGCCAAGCACACGCGCCCCGTGTCCCGCTCCCACGTGCAGGAAGACGCGCAGCCCAAGCGGGAGCCCAGGCAACTTGCAGCGCCTCCCGCCGCGACGGCTCTCTGGCTAGGCACCCCAGGGGTGCGTGCGGGGATTGGGGCCAGGCCCTTCACCCCTCCTTCCCTCCCTCCTCCCGAGGCACCCCCGCTCCCCCTCCCGCCATCCCCTATTTATGCACGAGCTGTGCAGCACCCAGGAATGTGCGCGGGGGGTAGCATGCGGCACCGATCAGCTGTTAAAAAGCATTGCTTTGCAATGATTGGTTCCCCAAGCAGGGAACCGATCATCACAAAGCGAAATTCCCCCATAGGGGACATCGCAAAGCTATCACAAAATCTTTGTCGCAAAGCGATTTCATCGCTATGTGAAGCAATCGCTATGCGAGGCACCACTGTATTGCCCACTAAAAATGATCTAAAACCCAAATATAAAATGATACCATTTTCTCTATATTACATACTAAGGTGCTAATTTAAAACATTCCTTGTGTTCTGTTAAGGGTTGATGTGCTTCTTTAATTTTTTTATATGGGACTGGTTTCTGCAATGCAAGTGAAAGGATTCATATTGTATAAGAACATGCCCATTACCCTTCAAAAACTATCACAATATATTTAGGTACTCAATAGCCCAGTGCAAATTTTCATTTTAGTCTTTGTTTTAGCAAGTAACCAGGAGGTGATTCTACCTTATCTATTTGGTATGCTATAAATGTTTAATTGAACATTCTCTTATATGATAAGCGCTGGAGAGACAGAAGATGGGGTAATATACTATAGTATAACTACCATTTATGTTGCTCTGATATCTAATTCTGCTCTCAATCTATTGACAAAAGCATAGTATGAGTGCCAGTAAAAATCTGGCAGTGCAGGCCATTTCCAGACTAAGTACAGCCCTAGAAAAATCAAAGCAGTCAAGGGGTTGTGGAACCTCAGTCACTCTTTTTAGGTCAGATGGATAGGCTTCCGAGTGCCATCAAACCTGAGAACAACAGGTTCATCCCCATGAGAAATGGTTGTGCACCAGAATGGCTATGTAGCGACTTTTAACATCACATTTCTATCTATACACTGTAAAATTACCAGCATGGTTCTGAACCTCAAGTAATGAATTTCCATCTCCAAATGTGATTCCTGTGTTGACTTGCAAGCAGCAGTGAAAAACATGGTTTTATTTAGCTGGGAATAAGCCCCAGCGAACCCAAAGGGACTTACTTTTCAATAGGCATGTACACACAATTGTGCTGTAGGTACATACTGGCCCCCATGGGTCCTGAGTAGTCCCTTTCATTGTCAGTAATGTGTGGAGACCATGGGGTGGGAGGAGAAAGTCTTCAATTACTGAAAATCACAACTTCTGGTAAACTCATCCTGGCAGCAGTGATTTTCGGTAATTAAAGATCTCCTCCTCCTGTCTTACAGCCCCCATGGACTTCTGATGATGAAAGTGACTCTTCAGGAACTGTGAGGGTGTCAGGACAGGAGGAGGAAATTTTTAATTTCCAAAATAATCGTCCTTGCTGAGAATGTCAACAGCCATATATACCATAGCTTCCATGAACAGGACTTCAGCCACTCTCTATATTTATAAAATCATGAATGATGTGGAGAAAGTGAATAGAATTTCCCTACCTCTTTAAATACTGGAATTCAGAGTCATCCAATGAAGTTAATGGACAGATAGAAGAAAATATATCTAACATGTCATTAAGATATGAAGATACGGAACTGTGGTGACTGCTAGTGATTGATTTTCTAAAGAAAGGTTTTAGATGGATTTCTAGATAATACACTAAGTATATCTTTAAAGAGTGAGTGTCAGTTTTGTGAACTAACCAGATACTTTTAACTAAAGGTAATAAATTTAAGTAGCTTTCTACTATTTGCAAAAAGGAGCTGGTACTTGCAGGCTGCATTAAAGGTAGGGAGACAAGAAATTTAAAAATAACAGGTCAGCACAGGAAATCCTAAAAGAAAGTTGGATATTCTGTCTAGTTTTTGTGTTCGTGTCTTTTTATTATCCAGTACCATGTTGAGAAGTTTTGAGTTCTTCTGTGATTGGGTGTCCCTTTAATGGAGTGGATATATTGTCATGTACTAGGTAAATCAGCTGTGACTCCATCTTCAGCAGTTCAACAATTACTAATACAAATGGTTTCACATTTGGGATGATGAAGGGAATTTTTTAAAAAATAAACTAAATTAGTGAACAAAGATATATTTTGTAGACAGACTTAGTTTTAACTGAAGAGCTGTTTTTACATATATTAAGTAGTCATATATTATAAGCAGATGTAATGTAAATGTGGAATAGTTTTCATACCAATCACTACATGTCCAAAATAAATAGATTCTAGCTTATATTTCTAATGCAGATTTATCACATATGAAATGAATATGAAATAGAATCTATAGATTATATATAATATTTATTACATCTTTAAAAAATAGAAAATATGTATTACTGCCAAAGGAGTTTTAATTCTGCATCAAGTACAGTAAGATCCCCATATCCCCAGGGATCAGTTCCACTATCTACTGTGGGTGCTTGAAACCACAAATATGAGAGAATCCTATAAACAACATACAATGGGGCAGGACCAAGGCTACAATGGGATGCCCTTGTATGTTGTATATAGGGTTGCAACAAAGTGGATAAGTGAAAATGCAGATACCAGTTCCACGGATATGGGAATCCTACTGTATATAGACTTATTTAAAAACTAGGTTGGAGAAAATTGTGGTATTGTGATGAAGTTGTGATGTACACAGTCTTTGTTCCTTGATTGTTGTTGAAGTAAAGAAAGTTTTAGCTCTAACACTGCCTTATTTATAATACCAATAGGTAAATTCACTTTGCAAAACTAGAATAGAAATATAAGAATAACATTGCTATCACATTACACCTCTATAGGACCAATGTTACACATTCTCCAGAGTCTTAAAAGCACATGCCCATAGTATGTTGGGCCAGATAAGGAAGACCAAAACAAAAATGGTTGCCACAAAATATGGTAAAACTGCCGTGGCCCATAGTCCATTACTATTCCGTGCTCAATGTAAGCCGTGCATCGCTATCTGTGGGAGCTCATGAGAGGACTCACAGCCTATCCAGCATGGCCTGAGATGCCAGTTTAATAATCAACCCTTGCCCATGACAAGCTAACACACTATTGTAATTTATACCATCATAGCTGTTTATGAAAGTGGCTGCTGCTGTGACCGTGACCCACATATGGTGCTGCCAGATCTTGCCATCTGTACCACCTTGTGAGGTACAGCTCTGTTAAGTACCTCCATATACAGTACATGTATAGGTCAGGAGCTGCCAAACATTACAGGTGGACTACAGGGAAGATTCTCCTGATCTCATTTTGATGGTGTTTATTGTTGGTTTCCACTTAGGATGCCTATTTAGGTGACCCAGTTTCAAGAAATGTGAAATATATTACGGTTTTGCAGCCAGGTCACCTGAAAAGTGGCCTGCATGAAAAGTCTCAGGGTGAATTAGTTGTCTGATATGACTAGAGTTACTTCTCGTCTTGGTGTAAGTGTGTAACTGAATCTCAGGTCTGGGCTTAGCAGGTAAAACTCCTGAGATCTGTCAAAGAGAAAATGAAAGAGTTTTTAACCTTCATAGGTTTAGGTGAGATTCTGTGGGTAGATTTTTTTTTGAAGGCTGAAAGAAATTCTGGAATGAAGATATACAGCCTCATTCTTGACAAACCTAATCAGGCTAATTAAGAAGAGGTACAGTATTTAGATATTCAACCTATATTTCCTAGCCTTTGTCTCTTTGCCCCTTGTGTCAAATTAATTTGCTGGTGCCATCCTTATATTTGCTTCAGAAAGAAAAAGAGAATTGCATCTGATAGAATTTTTATAATGAGCTCACTAGACAGGTCAGTTAATCAACAGATATTGCATGGACATTGAGATAAGTGGTACTTGATCTGTGTAATTTATCCTATGCTTATTTATCATATCAATGTTTTAAAATTCTTTGATTCTTTTTTTGTACACTTTGTCCGAAGCCAACACTAGCACTATTAGCTGAATAGTTTATTTAAAATATATGGCTTTTATCGTGCAACTGAAAAATCTATGTCTGTTAATACCCTGCATGCTACACTCACTGTTATTTTTTCCATGGTTTCCAGCCCAGAAAGAGCATGAAAGAGTACAACAGTAATTTGAAATTAAATCCTTTTAAAAATGAAATTTCCTTACTAGTTAACAGGGAGATAAGTTGTCAGTATGGATAAACTTGCATAGATAAATGCTTCCACTCTTTTACAAGCAATCTAATGAGAGTGAGGGTTTGATGTCTAAGAATTTGCAGTAAGGATTTTCACCTCCTCCTGTGCACTAGGTGGGGTATAATCAATAAGCATTTAAACCATTTAACTAAAAAAGCAAGTGTTTCTCCCTGTGATAACTGCTGCTGTGGCTATGTCTGTTCTTATAGTAACAGACTTTTAAAATCAATTGTTCAATCAGCAAAATGCTTCAAATGAGAAAACTAGATCAGAATACATATTTTAATTGAAATTTACTATATGTTGAAGAATGAACTTTCCTTTTGGGACCTG